CCTTGAATTGATGTGGTCAATGATTTCGGATTGTATTTTTGTTGTAAGTTTTTGAATATATTATTTTTGAATACTTCTTTTTATACTTCTTTGAAATTAAATGTTTCTTTCCTCGTTTGATATGAAATATAACGCAATGGGTTTAAATGCTGTTCGGGTCAGTTATATTTGAAACTGTAATTAATAATCATCATATTCTACTGTAACCTGTATTTTTATGGCATGTGGGTCTTAGGATAGTCATTGTCATCAGTTATCGTATTAGCCCATTGTAAGAAGTGATTAGCCTCTTAACTTTCACAAGATTTACTATTCAATACAACTTAATGCCCATTTTGTTCTAACGAGAGTCATAAAAGTGAACTCGCTGTTACAAAATACCAATTACTCTATGTCAAGTGATAGATACATATTTTTATTTAAATCTGAATAGATTAACATCTTTATAGGACTCTGTCAGACATAGGGGCCAAAACAGAAATCTTAACCAAATAATGCGCTTACATTATTAGACAGAACTACAGAAGCTTCAAAAACCTGACAATCACCCGTAGTGGCTTATAAAGACCCAGTGTCTCCATAACTAAATGGAAAAAGGCCAAGAAAAAGAAAGAACCACCCAAAAGCAGAGCAAAATACTAGTATAAAACATTACACGGTCATTGACTCACCAATCAAACTAACAACCAATCAACGATCAACCAACGACATAGTCCAATAAATTAGCATCAGATTTCAAAATGTCTAATTAGAAACGCATCTAAGTATCTAAGGGAGCGAGAGTCGTCGTAAATACATCACTACTAACTGGAAATTGGATTAATTATAGAGTGGACGTGCTAAACGATTTGTACGCATGAATACGTCACACTCCATTTGTATCAGATGTAGGTATTTGTTTACCTAATGCTGAATCATCGGAGAAACACTGTTGTGGGTTAATTGATTAATTCCAGTCTAAGTAGATCCTTCCATTCAGATTAAGGTTAAATTAGTTGTGAATAATTGTGTTAATGGTTGCCAGTGGAAAGGCTCTTGAACTTATTATCGGTTTCAGAAGATTATTTTCTTTTTGACAAAATTTTTGTACTATCACAGATATAGGAACACTTATCTACTATACTCATCTATGAAAAAAAAACGAAGCTAAGTTAAAATATTATATAAACTACAGAATTATGGGTTCCTGGTGTGGCTCAAAACTTGTCGAATAAGGTTACTGGTACAACAGTTCTAGTCAATGAGGTAATTGAAGTGCTCAAGTACTCTTAGTCCACGTACTCGCACACTATCTAATTATTTTATTTGAAAGCTCTTAAAATCATTACTAGCTAATTAAGGCTATTCAGTAAAACAATCGATAAATCTATTACAACGAACTTGAAAAAGTCGTTTATATAAAATCGTTTTTTGAATTATCAATCGGCTGTGAAGGAGACAAAACAGTCTGGGGCTAAATTAGATTTCTTATTTTTAAAAATAGTTATTTTATTGGACTTTCGGTGGAAAATAGCCTTCGAATAAAATAGGCTCAAGGTCCTTGGAGATTTTGGAGAAGAAACAAAATGTTGGCAATAGATTTATATACACAGAATGTGATAATGGACGCTTTGAAACAAAGACGTCGAAATCCAGATTGAAATGAATTTAATTATCAGATAATTTTATGGAGAGAGGGGTACAGAGGGATAAAGTTTTCATTGATAACGCGCTGTGAATGGGTGCCTTGAGTCGACCGCAAGTAAAAATTTAATCGCTTCGGAGCGATTGAAACTGGTCTACGCCTTACCATTATCATCAATAGCCCTTTATAGTTCGCTGCTGAACTATAATCGTTTACTACTTATGAGAGTCTTCCTTTATAATAATGGTGGAACCAATACCGACTGCATCGTTGGCCGAGTGGTCGCAAATGTGACTGCCGGGTTCCATTTCCGAGTTTATGTTTATGTTATATGGAACCAATACTTAATAAATCAGTCAAAGTCAAGATCGTGTTGCAAAATGAAGTTGCTATTTTTGGCACCATTAGCAAAAAGTGAGTTCTAATCCAGAAACGTAAAATATTACCAAGCAAAATAGTTAGCATAGTCTAAATCATTATCTACACTAACAAGTTAATGTGTATTAGTAACGATGTAATTAGTTACTCCCTAACAAGAACCTCAAATATTAATGATAATGAAACCCGGGACACTCGCTCTTTCACTGACTTCCAGGAATTTTGTCTACCTACGCCCAGACTTGTTACTTAAGTCGTTACAATGTGCCTTATTGAGATTGGTTTTAAGATCTAATTTTATATGCCAGTATGTTTGAAATCATAGGTGTATTTCATAAACAATAAATGGAAAACCAAAAGTCGTAGGAAAAACTAAAAAACACTACTATTAACTAAAAACTCGTTTTTTGCATCTTCGAGTGAGAAAAGAGTGTTTTTAGTTAAAACTGGGATAATGAAAGACTGATTATGGTGGTATGGCTGCTATGGCAGTAGGGCTCATCACCACCATAATTATCATAATCATAATCATCATTTTTTCTTCTCCTCTTATAATATCTTCTAATTCACTTCGTTGCGGGAACCAAGACAGTTATTCATGTCTCTGGGACGCGCCGGACTTCAGTGTTCCGATGTTTTCATGGTTGTATCTACTATAGATCCTGGCTTACAGGAGTTGCAGCGGTTTTGGTAAGTTGTGACGGGCTTGTCCCGAATAAAAAAATCATAATCATCATCATCTGTCAGATGATGTTTGCATCATCTTTCGTAATATGACTTATGCTGATAGTTAAAAATCCTAATGGAACTTTACCCTAAAAATCTCCATCCACATTGATATACCCAATGAGGTACTATTTTATTACTTACTGATTCGGAAAATTTCGTTCCGCCTTAAGACATATTTTATTACCTTTTAAACTTTCACTGGACTCCCACAAACATTACAAGACCAAAGCCAAATCGTTTCAGCCGGTTTTGAGTTTTAGCGAGACTAACGGACAGAAATTCATTTTTATTTATATAAATAGATTCTTTTGTAGTCACCTAACAAAAGTCCAGCCATTTAAAACGTACATACCTAACATTCTGTACAAGTGCACAAAAACAAACATATTATGTATGTACATAGATATAAATATACATATACTTCAGTACTTTCTTAACAATCGTAACAAAGCGTACTCAGCATTCGATTAAATTAATCCGTTTAACGTTCCAAAGGTTTTTACTTTGCCTCGTAAACACGTCGGTAGCGAAATTGAGAAGTTTTCAAAGCAAAAACTTTACTCTGACTTTACATACATGGAGTCGAAACACAAATAACATATAAACTCCCTCTAATACTCTGATTATACCAATATTTACATTTTCCTAACCGAGTGTGGAAGTCTCTTTAGAGGTTTTTGTTCCTAAACAGTTCTTGTCAAAAACTGTGCTTCATTTTATTTCAATATTTTATTGGTTGCTTGTGTTTCCTATTAATTCTTCTTCTCTTTCTTTTTTCTGTCTTTATTTAAAGCTTGAGACATAGCTCAGGATAACATGTCTTCATCTTCTATTCTCCTGTATTATAACCTAGGTAATGATTTTTCCTATTACTAGTAAAGCTTTCCTACTCCACCGATTCAACCGGTAACCAAACGAGTTAGGGATTGGACGAAAAACATTGAAATGTAATTTAGTACAATTTAATAATATGTATTCCGTCAATATTTTTATTGAACATCTGTAAAATTTATTTTAAAGGAGTTTTGTTAAACCCGTAGTAAAGCGGAAAATGATTGTGTCATGTTATTCAATCGGTTGACGGCTTGATCACAAACGAATAATTAATTAGGAATATTAATTGTTTGTGTTTAACATTGACCTAAAATTGAACTGAAGCTGTTCGTATATTTGGACTGGTACTTTAAGCTCTGCTGAAACTTTAATGGATGTTCTTTTTAATTGCTTTTGAGAGGCCTGGAAGCTTCAAAGCAAAAAGCCATCTCATATAAAATAAATAATTTCATGTAATAGTCAGATTTAAATTCTACACAACACGTCGATCTGTTTTCATAAAAATATCTAGCGAAGAAACGCAACGAAGGTGAAAGCATAAATCGCAGGGAAAGGTTAAAGATGGATAATATGGAGATATGATACAAAACACAATGGCCTATAACCGTCACGTCACGTATCGGCCAAACGGCGAGCCCTAACATCGGGCAGGTATAGGGGCACCACAGGTAGGCAGGCACTTCGGCACCATACGTAACCCGTCAAATCTTTTTTGGCGCCCTGAAAAGGTACGTCATGTTATCGGCAGATATCAATTTTACGTTGTTCGCAGGTTTGTTTTTTCTGCCCCTTTTATATAGATGCCACCCTAATTTGGACCGAACTTGTCAGGTTGTCAGTTTGCAAAATAATTGGACAATGTGAGATGCTATCTTGTGTTACCCATAGGAACGTTTTTGTAAACGGTGTCACGTGTACACACGTAATGTTGTATGAAGGTATTTTGTATAAATTGTAATTCGGTGTGTTATTTGCAAAAAAACGAAGTAATCAACACAACAAAAGCTTGGGTTTGTCACGCTCCGTCACAGGTAACTCTATTAACAATCACCTACTCGAACACGTAACGGACACAGATTGCATCAAAGTAAGTAGTTTGCTTAGTTTGCCATTGTTGTGCGCTCAACGGCTTTTGAACTTGACAGTTACATAACTTTAGTTTTAAAAACAACAGGTAAACCGCATTAACCTTAACATTCTTATGAATAATCAGAATCACGAATCTTGGCATTGAATTAGCGATCGAAAAGTATTGAATCCATTTCGTGCTTACAAAGTGAAGTTGATATGCTAATCATGCTTTCGATCATTTTTCGAAGCTCAACGGTCACGGTGAGTATGATGACCAGTTAGTTGCCGCGCCAGTTGGCGTGTGAGAGAGAGGGCACGATCAGCGCGTCAACGCGTCAGTGCCTCCCGCGCTACACCCGGCATTTATCGCGGCGCATTCTCTTATACCGCGCGTACCAGCCCGTGTATCCCGCACATGTATTTCGCGAGTGTATCTTTGTGAATTCTCTTGTGATCTCTGGATGTTTTGCGTGCATCATGGGTGGACGACTAGTGTTGTTGTTAGTGCTGTGCACGGGACTCGTGACCGCTGAGAGGAAACTTACTGTAGTTGAGAAAATCAGAGGAGATGGGGACCTCTCGCAGGTATTTCAAACTTTCTAACGAGTACTTGAATAGTTTTAAAAGTCTTTTGTTTTACTTTTAAGGAGTTTCCAAGAGGACTCTTTGGTGCTCAAACTGCTTTAGTTGTGTTAAAGTTAGTTTCAACTATTTTATAGTGTAACTTCGACAAGGTAAGGGTTAGGCTGGACCTAAACTTTACCTGTCTCAAACTAGTATTATAAGAGCAATTCAGAGGCCCAAATTGTGTGCTCTTGATTCAAAACAATTGCTTTACTATATTTTAATTTAAGGTGGGTGTTGGTAGGATAGTGACCCGGTTTTTTATAGTAAATCAGTCCAATTGTAATCCAGTCAGAGATACGTAAGAAGGTTATAAAATCGCTTAAACTTTTTTAGTTTTTTTGCGTAGACTAGAATGCAAAATATTTGAAGTAGCTTAGGTCAATATACTTATTATACGTTAAAACAATTTTAGTAATGTTTTCGTAGTCCGATGTTGAATTTTTAATTTAATCTTCGCAATGACGATAAATTCCTGCAAAAACGAGTGTTCGCTCAGGATATGTAAATAAAAAATAAGAATGATAATTACTGTTTATGTGTGGTAGGTTGTTTCTTTTATTTTTCAACTGGAACACTGCAACTGCTTATCTTCAATGATGACTGTGCACTACAGTATAAGGTTGTTTTTATATGTAGAAATGCTTAGTATAAGCATGTTTTGTATTATAATGATTTCCTCATTCATCGAACTTAGTTGACATAATAAGAAGGTTCATAATAACAGCTGCGATAAATAATTGCGATTGTGGTTTATAATCGCGAGCCATCTGGAACATGAGTCACTCGGCTACCCCTTTAAACATGTCTTCCAGTGAACTCGACTTTTAAAGTACCTTAGGAAATTCAAACCTTGGACAAAATTAGCAGCTTTTGAGAGGGTGGAGGTTTCGTCTTTCAAGAAAGGAAAGGAATTAAAATAGCTGGAGCACTAAACTTGTTTCTTTTGATTTTGACATATATGCTAATTTATGGATTCACCACGATGTCCTTCAATTGGTCGAAAGTGCAGACAAAGATGCCTGCACCATACTGTTAGCTAAACGGAGTTATCAGTAATCGAAAACCGATGTATGAGAATGACATTGTCACAAGATTTGGTCGTAAGCTTATGCCAATTCCAAACATCGATTTTACTGTTCTATTTGCACAGCATCAATAGTAGCAAGAAGGAATTGTGCCCGATATATGGCAATAGGCTCACCTAAATGGGATAACATAAATGGTGAAAAGTGGGCGTTACGTTATACAGTGGCATTAATTGCCGTAATGTGTACGTCTGCCTAACCCTACGGGGATAAAAGGTGTGTTATGTTATGTTGAATAGCATTTATACGAATATGTTATAGGTACTACCTATGTACCTATTGTGTGCGCAAACTGGTTACGAGTTATGTTTGAACTCGTGACACAGATTTTGTAACTCGATGCAATTGCGGTAATGACGATGACTATCAAAACAATAACATCAGAAGGAATAAGCAGAATATGAAATGGAGATTGGAAAAAAATGTACGTGCAAAGCAACTTGAGAATTGAATACCGTGAGAATTACTATAAAGACGAATAACTGTCATCTTAAAATAAGCGTTTCTATTCGTATCGTATTCTTTATAAAAGACTGGAGATGATGGATAAATAATTATGATCACAGTATAATATTAGTACCACCAAAATCTGCCCTCACAGGCGTATGAAATATTGTTAGCTCAAGTCAATAAAGATAATATAACAAAAAAATAAACCAAAAATGTCATGAAGATACAAAAAAGAATACTGATCTGAACTTTGGTTTACTAATCACAAGGATGAAAACACTATAATTCTCAACCAAGAAAGTAACAATTAAACGCCAGTGATAAAGCTCAAAATGTCATCGTAATTAATTTTAGGCTTTCCTATTTTCATCAACGCTAAATATTACTTGTCTGCCACCTAAAATTTCACTAATTTGTTCCAATTATTTCGCAGTACTTTGCATTTGAATTTCTTTTGTTTGTAACATTTTAGTCGAGTTACGAACATTTGACAATTTTCTTGAAAGGATAGAACTTGAAGATAGACCATTTCGGTTACATAATTTTGGACAAAGACAATTGGATCTACTAAAAAGGCCCTATAAACAATCGACGCGTGACCAAGTTTCGTGTTTGGCCTACGGTTTTATACCCAAACAATTCCACTATTACTCAAAACCATTCGGCATATTATGGTCGAGTTTCGAAACTTATTGAAAACTTTGCAACGTTGTACGACAATGAGAATGGAGCTATAATGGCGATATGGATTTTATGAGCTGTTAAAACCGGTAAAAGACATTACAAAGGTTTTAGCAGTAACCTGAACAGGGAAACTAGAATAATGACGTAAACGACACACCTATTGAACCTTGCACTTTGTCGTGTAACAACGCCCGAAGAAGCAGAAAAAGAAAAAGATAAGAGGAGAACACGTTTTAAATATGTGAGAATGACATAGTGAAATTATTTATCGACTTTATTTAACGAATTATTTTCTTTTATATTCAACTAGCATTGAACAAATGTCAGTTGCGTACAAAATGCTAACATTTAGGTTACCCAATCTAACTAAGGACAAAAAAGGAGAAAAAAAGCGCATAATTACGGAGACTTATAAAACTACAGCGAAATTCATTATCATGGCTGTTTGTTCATGTCAAATATAACATTCAAAGTTATCTCATAGAACATTAACCTCTTCGCAGATGAAACAAAATACAGACTATGCCCTAAATGGGAACCAATCTTACGATACGAATTTACGATAATTTCACAGTACCCATAAACGAGAACTGATTGAAAGACAGTCTCTTTCTTACTTTAAGATCCAACCTGCTACTTAAGGCATATTGCCGGCGCTTAATAGCTTCCGTTTAATGCGCGTGAGTCATACAGCGGCCACAACGACCATGTTCAAAGTACACACACATATCGACCTGTAGAAAGCCAATATATCATGGTCTCGACTTGTATGATCTTTTCGCACGTTTGACGGTCAATTTATACTGGTTTTGCATAGCTTTATGTGTTGCCGTGTATACTATGACAATTACCTACGTTTGAAAGCTGCAAATTCAATTAGAGCAGAAAGCTAATCTGAAATGTTTGCTGAGTGATACATATATGTACTTAAATTGGAAAGCATAATAGATGTAGAGTAATTAGAAGGAGTTAACCTTTTAGTAACCTTAGGTGTAAGTTAAAAGAATTTGCCGATTGCTTGCAGCTGTTAAGTGTCAAGGTTCGAGTGCGATCTTCGGTTCGGATAAAGTCTAATTGAGTCAAAAACATTACAACTATTTTCAGATTGTTCAGTCTTAGGATGGAGTAGTTGGAGTACTTAATAGAAACCAATGTTTGAGAATGAGTTTTTTCCATATCTTAATAGGATTTAATAAGTCATAAACAGAGAGTCTGGAATGACACTTCTGATCTTTTAAGGCGTTGTAAAAGAGCTTGTATGTCCTGTATTGAAGATAAAGACATTTAATTTATAATCTTCTTCAACCTCTCAATCGAAAGATCTACGATATCAAAGTATAGTATAGTCACAATTGATCTTGTTGGCCCGCATTCGCTTGATTCTTACGATCTCTGCTGAGTCAGCTTATCATAGGAGATTTAATTAATCAGTATGAATCACCGTGCTTTCATTCATTTTAAACTTATTATTGTTATTTTTCTCAATCCCCCTAGCCAAAATAAGTGTTCCTAATTTATTCTAAGTCGAAAAGAAACCCCATTTTCTAAACAAAATCTTCTCTGAAGAGTTTTAAAAGAAGTTGTAATTTTCCCTTTTATTTACGAAGCGGTGGTCCGGTCCTTGTCGATAAGCCTGGACAAAATCTTCTTATTAAAGATATTATTTAGCCACCGTCCTAGCGGGGTTACGGAATTTACATATTTTGTTCGGAGGCGGAAGAAGGACCGAAAATATACAAACTCAATAACGAAGGAGAACTCTGACTGCTCTGTATAATTCGAACCCGTCATTGACATTAGTCCCGAAGGACCGAAACGTATTAAGCTATAATACGTAGTAGTAGGTCTCTAAGGAATGTATAAAACTCATTCCTATTTTAAGGTGAAGTGAGAAAACTCATAAAACTTTGCTAATGTCTGTTTTGGTATACATTTCGGCTATAAAGACTTACTTTTAAGTGTTTAATTTCGCTATACGCGTAATATCCCCGAAACAAACTCACATTAAAGGCCGAGTTTAACATTTAAATTAGCCTTTTAAACAGTAATCGATAATTTAATCAATGAACACAACGTTAATAAAGGTCTGTGGTACATTATTAAATGGACCGTCTCAAATGGCTGCATCCGTTGACTTATGTGTACTTCAATTGTGGTTCAACTTTGTCAAAGGATGGTCTTAGATTTATTAATAGCTATAGCAACGTTTAGCAATTAGTCCTCATATAGTTGAGGGAGAGAACATCTATTGAAACAGGGTACGAGGTAGTCTGGACCGTTTATGTACTTATGTTACCAAACCTCTTCATTGTGAAGTCCTATACAAACATAGAGTTGCGTTCTATTTTGAATTGTGGTTTCTATATGTTTCAAATTGAAAGTCGGATTTAATGCCCGATGTTTAAAGGACCTCGTGCAATATAGTATTATGTAATTGTATAATTTAGAAATTAGCCAGCGATAATAACGGTTATTTGGAGTTTATTCACATTAAACCTCTTAAAACGAAATATTTAGACACAAAACGTCTAAAATATTTCGTATATAAAACAATTTTATGGTAGCTAGCTCAAACGCCGGTACTTATACGTCTACGTGCCTTTAAAAACGACAAGCAGCGCTGCGATGAAATATTAGATAAATTCTTGTCTTGTCTATTCGTCGGATGTTCCTATGTACGTACTAGGCATACATAAGTGGTTGGAGCTGACGACGCGCTCATCTTACCTACTTCCTTCG